GATTCCTAAAAAAAAAAAAAAAAAAAAAAAAGGATAAGCCCTAGGTCATTTCATCTCTGCGTGTGGAGGTATAGCATGGGCTGCTAAACCAGATGGGGGAGACTAAGTAGAGGATGGGGGTCCCACTAATCTGAAGTGATAGAGATGGTTGTTTAGATAGGCTGAGGAAGATGGAATATGTTGGGAAGAATGCCAAAATGCACCCAGAAAGAGTTCTAGAAATCCACATACAGGTCCACTTGACTATTCTAGTTGAATAGTAAGCTGTACATGTGTTGAGTGAGAATACACAAGGCCTGGAAGGACAACTTCTGCCTAAAGAATACTGGTGAGCTATGGGCTAGAGATTTAGCTCAGTGGTGCCACTGTCTGCCTCACAAGCACAAGGTCCCAAATTAGATCCCTCGTACCCACACCTGCAAAAAAAAGAATATTGGTGAGCTATAAGCTGAACAGCTGCTGGGGTTTGCACTGGGCTAAGAGACGTTCAAGTTCTAATCTACCAGAGGCCTCATTGAACACCAGGCGCATTCAGTATAAAGACCTCAAAAAGGTCATTCTATAAGAGTAGGGTTAAACTGGCATCAGAGAGCTCACTGTACACCTATATTGTCTCCATAGTACAGCCACAAGCCTAACTTCTTTAAAATAAAATTTAAAAATACAGTTTCTGTATTACATTAGCCACATTTGAAATATTTAACAACCATGACTAAGGGCTACCATACTGCAAAGCACAGAAACAACTCTTTCCTATCACTATAGAAACTTCTACCAGACTGCACTGTTTTACATCTACCCTAATGATTAAAAAATACACTTGTAAGTTCGAGTTAATTCAACTGTTAATTAATGGTACTCCTGATCAAACTCAATCAATACAGACCCAGAAATGACTGAAATAAGTGAATTAATAAACAAGAGCTTTAACATAGCTACTATAAAAATGTTCAAAAATGTAAAGGAAAAATGATCATAAAAAAAGAAATGTAAATTATTAAAAAGAACCAAATGGAGCTTCAGAGGTGAAAAACTTAATGGTGTGCTTAACAGCATATTAGACACTGCAGAAAAAAAGAACAGTGAATCTGAAAATAAGGCAATAGAAAATAAACTGAAGCAAGATTTTTTTAAGCTTAAAAAATGAACAGTTTCAGTGAGCTGTGGAACAATATTGAGTAGTCTTAACATACATGTGACTGGAGTCACAAAACAATACATAATAACTAAAAATATCCAAATGGTAAAAATAAAAATCTAAGAAGCTCAACAGACCATAAATAGGATAATCATAAAACCAAATTACATCAAAATCAAATTGATTAAAAATTAATGATAAAGAGAAAATCTTAAAATAAAAAAACTCCACACAGAAAAACTCTACATTTATGTAAATTAAAGATAAAAAAATAGCACTGAGTTCACATTAGAAACAGTGCAAACTATTAAGACAGTGGAATGACTCTAAAGTGCATAAAGAAAAGAAATACTGCCAATTTACAATCATATCCAGTGAAAATATCCTTCAAAAATGAAGGCAGAGAAAATAATATTTTCAGACAAACAAAAGCTAAATTTGTCACAAGCAAACCTATGCTACAAGAAACATTAAAGAAGTACTTCAGTTAATGAAACATGATACAGACAAACTTGAGTCTACCTAATAGAAAGAGCAGCACTAAAGATTATCAAAAAAAGGACTTAATTGCAGAGAAACACACCAAGTTTCCTGAGCATGTAAGGGAAGGGGCATCACCCTGACATTATT